TTACATATTACGCTTTTATAATTATTAGTTGTAAAATGGTCACCAGGCAATATTACCGCTTATCGCAATAATTTGTGAGACAATTAAACGCCCAGCAAAATTTGTTATCGTGACAGGCCTAATCACATATCTCTTCAGTCCTGTTGCTTACCACCCCGGTGTAATATCTGAGGCCGACCACAGTCCCCCGCAGGCTGCCGAACTGCACACTGCCGTCTGCGTCCGGTTCTTCAGGTGCAGCAGCTCTGATGGCCTGGGACAGGCTCTCTGGACCGGTCCCAAACAACCGGTCAATGAAAGGGTCATCATCATCGGACGTGTTCCAGYCGAACCGCCACCAGCCAGACATGCCTGCCTGGACTCATTCACAAAACACAGAATTTCACAGACTCTAATGTTAAGTCAAACATTCAACGTAAGCTATAGTATAACAATAAAAACAGCGTGTATTATCATGGAAAACACAACAATTTATCCTTACTGTTAATTTCCTCACAGCTGTTAAGCACTGCGCACACCTATTAGGGTTTAAGCGGTTAACTTTGTTGATGTTTGAGCTACTTTTAGCGGAGTCAAGCTAACTGTAGTAGATCCAACATTTCCGCTTTTGACTTTCAAAATAAAAGAGGCAACGTGTTCCACACTGCAGGACACACTGGATGTTGTGAATTAAAAAAACATATTTCAGTGCCCGTTCAGCTTTCATTTGTGAAGGAATAAAATAATTATAATTTATTACAAAAAACACGTATAAAATATAGATACACCTGAATGAGACAAAAAAAAAAGTTTAAAATCTGTTTTTGGCAAAACATAAAGGACGCTCAGTGAGACCTTCAGTTGGATACAGCAAAGCAAACAAAAATGATTAAAACAAGAGAAAAAAATTTCTACTGATATGACAAGATGAATCCATGGTTTGTATCATTATTACTGTTATCATTTATTTACTTTTTAAAAAGGATATYTCCACCAAGTGAACAGAAAATGCATTTTTTAAATAAACAAAACCCAGTAAAGGTATATTATCTGATTCTAAGTCCTAGAGTAGAGCTCATAAACTGGCGGCCCACAGGACACATCTGGCCTACTGGGGACTTCTGTCGGGCCTGTCAATGATGGCCCACCATTTTTAACTGTATTTTTTCAACTCAATTTAATATAAAAAATAGATTTCAAATAATTTATAAATGTAAAACCAGCTCTGTGTAAACAGGGTCTTGGTTGAATAAACTTGTCCTACAGCATCATAGTTGTGGGAAGGTGTTTGGGCATGCTGTGGCACCTTCAACACCCCTACTTCCCATGACCTTGAATGACTATGCTTGCATGCTGGATAGCACCTTGATGTACATTTTTCAGTGTTTAATTCTGTAGCGATTTAAAAGTACTTTTAAAGTTTTACAAGTTATGATGACAAATAGAGAAAAAACACGTAGTTTTAAAAATGCAGCAGTAACCAATCTGAAAGCACAGATTAAAAACAAATAATTACTTATTTGACATTTACAAATGGTTAAATGTGTTTTGCACTTAAAGTGTATATATATATA